TATGTGTGGAGTTTTGTTTTTTTTTTAACCATCCCTTCCACTTTCAGTTGGGTAAAAGATTCTGCTATGTTGAATAAGACAAAGTATTAAAAGGAAATAATATGCATAGTATTATGTGACTTTAAAAAATCTTACTCCTTAAACGTAATTAATTTAGCTTCAAGTTTGGGGGCATACAGAACAGCATATCGTGGGGGCACTGCTCTGTGGGCAACCCTGGCACCCTTGGCAGGGTTCTTCCATAGGCAGGAGAAGGCCCATAGTGCTGCAGGTGGCTGTTGTGACCCTCACTGCATGCCAGTCTGTCTAACCTGTAGTGCTCCATGCTGCTGAGGAAGATGAATCCCTTCCAATGTCTTAAATCCTCATTAAACTTTGCAGTGTGGCAGTCAAAGTGGGGCAGCACTGTTGGTCAGTAATGGTGACACAAAGGATGTGCTCGGTTCTAGTGTGAGCAATGGTTACGTTCCCTTTCCCTTCACGCCCCTGTGCGATGGCTGATTCTGCTGAGGTAGCTAGTAGAAATGATTTACTTTTGTTTCTTATTTCTTCGTTATTTTTTCTGCTGATTTAATGAGCTGAAGTGGGATTACTAAAGGACAAGGCTCTCCCCTGCAATTCTCTATTCCAACTTTAGTTTATAGAAGAATTTGCTAGCAAAATCTCAGCTCTGATCCATGGGGGCACAAGGAACTCAGATCAGATGATGGCCCTTGTGATCCTTAAGTGACCATAAAAAATCAACATCCTGAATTCCCTAGGCTAGTTTGCAAATGGGCACATTTGAACTGCATTATCAAGCTAATGCTCATTTAACATCTTTTTCTTTTGTTCATGGTGACCTCTGCTCCAAAGGAGGAGAAATGCTGCAGGTAGAAAAGGGAATTGGTCACTCTATGTTTGTTTACATTTTTTTCCTGTCTCTGAACCCAAACATAACATTAAATAGATACATATAGATCAGGGTAAACTACCTTTGCCTTTCCCTGGTGTTGCTGCTTTGTAAGACGTGCTGGGGTATTCGTATCAGGGAGCAAAGCTGGGTTTATGCTGGCAGAGAAGGACGGGTTTGGTCCAGCTCCAAAGTTCACAACTGTTTTGTATGTACATGTTACAGTTTTAGGGAACTGTCCCAGAATCAACACTCGCCTGGGAAATACTTTCCCATCCCAGCCTAACCTTCCTCTCAATTTTCCTACAGTTGAATTTGCAACATCAAGTTTTTTTAATAAAAAATAAATGGCCAACTGACAGTAAGTGGGAAATTATCTTTGGATTCTTATGTTTTATGACAGTACTTGTATTGTGTGCACAAGAGCCCACGAGGGCAGCACCTGGGCCAATTCAAGGGGTGTCTGTGAGTTGTTATAGGGTTAGGAGGCACACTGTGTATAGAAATACAGCAATTCATTTCTTATGTGTGTGTGATGATCCCCAGTGACATAAACTTCTGAATACACTGGAATATTTTAAGAAATTTGTGTTTTTCCTGTATTTTATAGACAAAGCATGAAATAACCTTTTCATACAGAAACCAAGAAAATATAATTAAGGGTTGTTATTTGTCTGTGTGGCCACTTCAGCTTTCAATGGACTATGTTCTTGTGATGGAAAAAAATGTGTGAGATGGTGTGATCCCTTGAGTATTGCTCCCTGGGTGTAGTTAAATGGTTCAATTGTGGCTGGTTGGTATAGGTTTGGATAAGAGGCAGAGAGGACACAAAAATCAAGTTTGTGATGGAAATTTCATAAAAAGAGGCCAACTGCTCCCTCTCTCCCAAGAGGCCTGCGAGATCATCAGTGTGAGGTCTTTTTTTTCCTTTAAGAAAATATTTACTGGTTCTTTTCTACATTCCTTATACAGTCTAAACAACATTGAAGCCAAGGAGAGCTGGATTTGGATTATGAACTTTTTCAGCTTTTTTAGAGTTGAGCTGTGAAATTACTCATAAAAACAGCCTTTTTCTTTATTTTTTTTTAAGCTGTTCACTTAGCGTACATCTAAACCAAGGTTGTTTTCTCATCATCTTTAAAATTGCTCATGCCAGAATTATTCAACATCCAAGGATACCTGTATCCGTTGGGGTTGTGGACACGTA